TGCTTAATACAAAATTTAGAGCTTTATTAATTTAAAATAAATTTATATAAACTTTTTATTGTTTTGCATAAAAATTTGAGTTTAATATTGGGTAAAAAAGTGTTCAGAAACTTTTGGCGGGGTCTGTAAGAACTATTTTTGACTTGAATTTCTTTCACGAAAGAAGCTTGCTCCCTTCTCTGTATCAGGTACTCGTAAAGATAATTATCACATTTACTTCTAAATACGGCTTTGGCAATGACTTCTCTTTCTGTATTTGCATTCATAACTTCCGCATAGAAACTAGACGTAGGCTTGATTTTTTGATCGAGTTAATAATATTGACAGGATCATCTTATGATTAATGAGTGATGGACTAGATCTAATTTATGACATCGGAGTTATAATATCTGTTTTCACCTGAACAATCGAATAAAAATAAATCTGATATTTATTATAATATACTTGCTATAAATTGCTATAATTTTACTATACCCGCAAAATGGTTAAAACTAACTACTATTCTGGTTTAAATCCTGTAATAGTGCAGGCGTTAAACAATCTGCAATATAGGTATAGTGGTGAAACACCAGAAGTGTGGTGTTCTTGTATTCATTATCTATTTAAAAAACTTCTTGAATATAACCCAAAATACTTCTCCAAGAATGGATTTATTCAAATGATTGAAAGAGTATATATAGATGGGGAATTTAAAACTAGGAGACGCTCATTTCATATTTATTGTACTGTATGCGACTCCTTGGTAATTATCTGTAACAATACCATCAAATATGCAAATGATCACCTGAAGAAATGCATTGCCGAAAGGCGCCTTGCATATTCTAAACCTGTACGGAAAAATGTAAAAAAAGAAGAAAGAGTATCAATACTCAGTTCTGACGAGATTAAAAAGATTTATCAAACATATTGTTTTATATTCAGTAAAGGCTTGGCTAATTATAGTTATGCATATGAATATGAAATTAGGAAAAGGCATGTAAATCATTTAATCAATAGTGCAAAAGTTATCCAACAGGCTTGGAGAGCTTACAAGTTAAGACCCGAGACATGGGCAAAACGAGTTTAAAATATAGTGAGAAATTATGGTACTCCCAATAGAAAGAAATTTTTAGGTATACCTAATGATGGACAGATGAAAATAAATCCTATGACACAAGAAGAATATGATTTAAATTTAGATAAATTTATTGATAGGTTTAACAAAAAGAGCTTATATCCTTTTAATCGAACCACAATGGTTGGGAATTTTACTGTACAGTACTAGTACAGTACTAGTACAATACTAATACTAGTACTATACTATAGCATTAATAAAAATTAGTACATAGTACAGTTCAAATCATGTGATATTTATAAATTTTGATTGGTTTATATTTTTTTGCTAATTTTAATAAGTATAATATATTTATACTGTACTAAATAAATGAAAATTTTAGTACAAAATACTAAAACAATAATATCACGTGATCACATTTTAATTTCACAAATTAAGCAATTACAATTTATTTCTGTTTAGCAAACTGTAATACCTTTTAACATTACAAATTAGAAAGGACAATACAAATCATTTTTGAATATAATATCTAAATTCCATTTTGCATTATGATTTTGAGCCGGATGCTCAATATCTTCAATACCTATGTCTAAAAATTCCAATTCCTCTTCTTCTATTTCTTCAAGTATTTTTAACCATCCAGCTAAATTATCATTAAACTTTTTTGAAATCGTTTCTATATCTTCATTATTTTGATCATCATCATCATTTTTAACTGTTAAATCTAATACTTCTTCATCAATGGTGTTTTCATTTCAATAATATCATCTTAACCTTCTTATGGTATAATCAAAAGTGGCTCTATATTAGGAATTATAATATTTGATTCTTGATAAAAACGTTGATTATATGTCATATCAGCATGCAATTTGACCATATCTAATATTCAATTAGACTAAATAAATAATTAAAAAATTAAATAAGTATATATTTTTTAAATTAAAAATCAACTGTATTATTTACCTTTAATTTATTTCTATTTTTAGTATGATAAAATCCCATACTGCTCCATAATCTTTTAACTAAAGCAGCATTAACACAAATACTAAAAATTTGCATAGCAACAGTTCCAATCTTCAAATAAGCTTCTCGAATCTAACACCAATATTTATAAATATTATTATTAAACTGAGAAATTGGTACACTATCAAAGGATATTTCTTTCCTTGAGAAAATTCATCAAATTCTGCAAGAATAGTCTGAGGATCAGATCCAGTCCAAGCCTTATAATAATATATTAACCATTTACCCATATATAAATAACTAATTTGTGATGCAAATAGTGATGTAAAGTAATTTGTTTTATAAGATGGATGAAGGAGCCAAGAGAGAATTAATAATGGTTGTTCCCATAATTCCCATTTTTGTTGTAAGCGAGTCAAAATTCTATTAGCCATATTATTATCTTCATACTCTTTTCAAAACTGACAAAGATATGCAAATCCATGTAAAACCTCATATAATCATGCTTTATCAGTTTGTAAAATATTAAGAATGTGGCAATAAGGAATTAAAAGTTGTTTTAATTTTGTTAATGATTTCCAAAAATTTTCATTCATAATTATAATATAAATGTCATGTGAAATGCTTAATGGATCATCTGGTTGACGTCATATAGTTGAATTTAATGGTTCAAATTTAGTAGCTAAAGACTAATATTATAAAATATTATAAAATATTTATATAATTAGTAATAAGCAAATTAAATATACATATTATATTATAAAACAAAATTCATAAATTAAATAAATTGAATTAATAAAAGATAAAAAAAAATACCTGTAAAGCATTTTTAGTTGCTCTTAAACTTGTACAAGTAGTAAGGTAACTGTTCCATCATGTATCTCCAGAGATTGTAGGCTAAATATATTTTCCATAAATCTCTTTTTGAATATTTTCCGATAAAATATTTATGATTCACATTTTTAAAATATGCTGCTAATTTTAATGCTTGAGATGAAACTGTTTTGAATTCTGGTGATACTTTGAATATTTCTCCTATGCATAGATTTACTTAATGTGCGAAACATGGTAAAAAACAATGTTATAATGCTGAACTCGAAGATGTAACCTATAATATAAAAAAAATAATTTTTTAAGTAATTTTAATATTAAGCAATGATAAAAATATAAACTTACTTACCGTGCAGCATTATAGGCTGGTGTACTATCTGTTACAATAGCCAAAATTATTAAATCAAGTTCTTTGATACTAGTAACCATTTCCTCTGTTTTAAGCATAACATCAGCAGTTTTTTGACGTTTACCACTTACATCCACTATTCTCCAAACATAAAGTTGTCTATCAGAAGATATAATAACTATACCCATTAATTCTTGTTCACAAACATTAACCCATTCATTAAAAGAAAGTATAACACCTACACGATCCGATTTTAATTTTTCAATCATTATATTATTATGATCCATAACTGCTTCATTTAAAATTTTGTCTGATAGAGTTTTTCTATCAGGTAATTTGATTTAGGAACTTAAAAACCTAAAAAGTTCAATTACTTCTTTATTATTAATCTAAGATAAAGAAAACCTACAGGAAATAGTAACTTGTAGTAACAGCAAATAAAATTTTTTCTTATCACTATTAGAAAGGAGTCGAGCTACAAAGTTATCTATAGGTCCATAATTTGACCAACTAGTAGATAGAGAAGTTAGTGATGAGAATGAGTCACTTCGTGTTATTTTAAATAGTCAATTAATTGAGGTTGATTCAGATGCTGCTTCGGATGATGATGGATTGTTTGCTAATAAAAATAAAAGAGGTACATTAATATTATACAAAATAAATAAAAAATTAGCAGAAAAAAAGAACTTACTTGGTCTTTTATTCAAAACTTTTTTTTGGATTGCAAGAGAAAATATCTCCTCTTTTTCTTCTTGATTATACATGTCAGCAAAATTTGGACAGTTTTTAAAATGAGTTAAAATTCAGTCAGTTTTATCAATAATTATTTTTAACTTTGGTAGTTTTCACCATATTTATCATAACAAGCTTTACAGTAGCATAGTTTGTTGGTATTACCACTTTTTTTATTTATTAAAATAATATGGTTTTTTAAAATTTGCATCATATTTTATGAAAAAAATGAGATAAAATAAAAGGCTGCCATCGACCATCATGATAAAAACTGATAGATGTTATATTTTTAACTTTTTTATCAAAAAAAATGTGTTCGATATTTATATTTGATAAAATTTGCTTAATTACATTATTTTGAAAAAATTGTCATACAATTATCATATATACGTACTATATTAAACTCATATTGTACAGCTGTACTTCTTTTCGAACTGTACTAGTACTATTTGTACTAAATACATTAGTATTTAGTACAGATACTGTACTTGTACTAAAATTTGGGTAATATAGTATACGATCACAACCCTGATTATACTGTATAAGGAATATATCTATTTTGATATTAATAGATGGATAGAACGAAAGAAATATCAGTTAAGTCAACAATTAGATAAAGAAACACATGATCTTGTTAAAAAAACATTAGAACGACAAGGTTACATAAGAAATTATAATGTACAGTAGAGATTTTAAATTATTTATCTTTCATGAAGAAATATGATAAAATCGTTACAGGATCCTGAAAAATATCATCTTAAAAAAATCAATAAATAATTTCACATTTCCGTCACAATGTATGTATGCATGTGCATTACAATAAACACGCGCTAAGTTTTCTGAAGCATAGATTTTTTATTAAACTAGTATATTATATATCTACATATAATTATTAGCTGAAGCGCTTCATAATAATATAATAAATCATTTTTTTTACTTTTCTTCGTCGCTCTACTACAATGTATGCATGATCACCTAGTTAGATTGTGGAATGTATCACCTGCATAATTCATGCGGAATAAAAAATGTGATCTGCCTATTCTGGGTTAGACCAGCTATGCGAGTACTTTACTTCGCCACAATGCATGTAGGCATGTGTGACAGAAAATAAACGTATTTCTGATTCCTGTTGAGTAGGTATAATGTAATAAATAATACTCTATGCTTGTGCGATGAAATAATTTTACACAAGCGATCTCTTTCAAAGAAAAATTTTTTTCTTACAATATTTAGCGAAAAAAGCAATATATATATTTGCTTCAGAAAGCCAAGCTATTTCTTCTTTGTTCTAACCAGAATATATTTATATGATGTTGCCAGGTTCTAGTATTAAGCGATCAAGCAGATAAGTGAGTAAAAAAAGTCTATATACATATTCTTCAACACCTTTATAAATGTCAAGATCTTTAATGCACATTCCTCATGCTCTTATTTTTAGACACAAAACTTTAGCATAAAGTGCCTTGCATATTTCTCCTGCTTTGACTCCAACATGAACTTAAGCTCAGAAAAGACGTAAATGAAGTCATTTAAAAGAACAGTATAGTAAAATTATTATACCTTTACGTTATTTTTTTTACTTCGCTTAGCAGAGCTTTTTACTAACATTTTAACTTTCATTTTATTAAAATATGAAAAAATTCCTTTTAACAAGAAAACCTCTCAGTATCGTCAGGATTTTTATAACATTATTTGTATAAGTAGAGTAAGGTGAATGGACAGGTGTTCTCGAAAAGGAAGTAAAGAATTTCAAAAATGTTCTGAAAAGAGTTTTAGACCAAGTTCCTTCAGAGGACGTTGAATGAAAAAAGAAGCTTCAAAATTTTAGTACTGAAAAAAAACTAGTGAAATGGGTAAGGCAGTAAATAATAATCATAGCAGATATGTGAATATGATGTTATGTATTTCTTTAGGTTTTCTGACATATATATATTAGTGAATGCACTGTGTCTGTCATGATGTTATTGCTTCCACATGGTAGTAACTAATTATATATATGTCCTAGTGAGCGTGCATTTTAGTTGACTTATTGCTAGCATTTTGATATTTTTTTTATGAAAACAAAATCTAATCTGATCCTGCGCAGGGTATATTTATTTTAGTTTATCAAAATAATATTAAGCCTAAGTTAAGTTAACTATATTTAGGTAGCAATTGCATTTGAAGATTTATACTCCCTTACAGGAATGAAAACTTTGGTGATTAATGTCAAAATATGGCCTGATGATGCAAATGCAAATTTAGAGCTTTTAATACATAATGTCAATCAGCTCAAAAGTAAAAGTGTTGGCTATGAAAAAACTATGTGAGAAAGAATTGAAACGGAATTAGAGAAAGTAGATGTCGAGAGCCTTAAATTTGATCATCTAATATGTTTTGAAGTTCTTAATATCAAATCAGAACCTTTCACAAAGATACCTGGGTTATTTTGTGATATTTTAAAGAACTTTTTGAAAAATACAAGCTAGATCATAATGATATGATAATAGATACTTGTAGAGAAATTATTTATAATGAGGAGTCAAAGATAAAATTGGATGAAGATTTGAGTAATGTTGAATTTGGAAAATGACTAGATAGTTCTGAAAGGCTTCAAGAAATGGCAAGACGAATACTAGAATTTTTGTAAGTTCACTTAAGTTTTATCCACCACATTCTGCCTTTTTATATATATTAGCTTACAGTATAAATAATGAAAATAGGCGAATTTTTTATAGGTTTAAAGTTTGGAAGTCACCTAAATATAAAGCCTATACAAAGAAAGGAAAACTGGTTAATGAAAGGTCGTATGTCTGTGAAGTACTTGTGTCATTAATAAATATAGTAATGAGTGAATTGCTCAGAAATCCTACTGTATGGGATATATGATAAGTATTATTTCTAAGTATTAGCTATAAAATGATCCTGTAGAGCTATTTTTTCTTATTTAATGATTTTTCTTAAATAGGGTAAAGAGAGAAGTTCAGCTAGCACTATATGAAAAGGATCTCGTAAATTTGCATAGAAACCTGATTATATGACTATAGTGCAACTAGAGAAAGATGCAGAGCTTGAAGTTGTATACTTTGAAACTGGTAGGCCAGATTCCAGTCAAGATAAGTACTAGCAAGACCACAAAAAATTAGTACGATTTTCTAAAGATTCTATCGACACTACTAGAAAAATATCAAAGCTTAAGAGGGTATTTAATATTTCATCTAAGAGGCAGATATTATCTATATTTGCTATAAACATTGCAGGCAATATTATGAAACTTTATGTTATGTGTAAAGAATCGAGTATTTACAAGTACTGTTTAATAAAGGAAGTACCGATTCTGCTACATATGACTTTACCAAATGCCATATACCCACTTATCCATTCCTTGATGATATTATGAACGGCCGTCATATGCACAATTTACAAAATACTACATAATTCTGATTCTGAAAATAGTAAACATAGATTTGATGAAATGGCTATAACTGTTTAGACCCCAAAAAATTCATAGAATAGAAATCAATTCCATATATGTAATTTATAGTTTTTTACGTGGTATAACACACTATCATTAATAAAAATTTTTTCTTGACAAATTTTAGCGAACTGAGTTCGCCCAAAATCACATGATTTTTTATTTTTGAATATTAACATACTAATACTACATTACGCAAGCATGCAATCTGAAATAGATGGTCTCAGTAAGATTGATACATTAAAACAATATATTAGCGAGCTTGAGACCAAGAATAATAAAATTAAGATCAAAAATATTGAGCTTAAGCTAGAATTGTGAAATTAGAAGATAAGCAATCGCAAAATGAATTAGTAAAAATTTATTATCTGTATCATGAAAAACATGATTATGTATTAATATTGGCAAAAGTGATCAGTGTTATAATTTGTAATGCGTACGTGATTTTTTCTTGATCAAAGTTGTATTTCTAATAGATCTCTCACGATCTTAACGCGTAAATTTATTTTTTTGAATTCTGTGAATGTATTAAATGTACTGAATGCTCTGTCACAATTCTTAGATTCTCAGAATTTTTTATTATTTATATAAAATGACTAATAATATACTGATACTATTTTTTCACATATATTACTCAAAGTAATTTAATCAGCTTTTTCGCTCTATCAAAATAGATATATAGCGACGCCTTACATCTCAAAAATATTTATTATCGTTAGAACAGGTAAGTAATATTCACCTTGAAGTGAAAAATTTGTTAAATAAGACAGTTGAAAATTATATTAAGAAGAAGAAGCATCAGAAAATGAAGTCTATTACTAGCAACTGTAAAACTTTGTTAAGGCAAAAAAATAAGGAGTTGTGTATATCAAAGCAGGTATTGAAAAAAAATATTAAAGAGCTTCTTGACTTGCAAGAGTAATATAAGTCTAATAAGATAGCTATGATCAGGTCTTTAGAGAAGAGTGGCAGAAAAGTCACCCAATTATCAAATTCAGTAGCTTTTTTTAAAAGTATAATTCCTGATACAAGAAAAGCCATTGTATCAGCTGAAAAGTCCATTGACCTGTTAGAGAATAAATGCTGGCATCTGAAGGACATTATTTCTGCTAAGGATAAAAAAATTATTGCTCTTGTTGATCAGATCCTTCTCAAAATGAAGCATAGTAATGTGACTATAGAACTAGAAATGTATTCTAGCACTTATGAAAGGAAATTATGGGTGAAGAGGTGTAGTGAATCTGAACATGATCTAGAAATCAGAAAAAAATATACATTTTGTTCTTAGTATCTAAGAAAATTCTACTCATTAGTTAAGGCACTTTTTCTAAAACTTCGTCTCAACTAAGCCGTACCCTATGTGATGCTCACGACATACAGTTAGATCAAAAACAATGAATTTTGCTCACATAATGTTTTATCAATAATCTTAATCACACTACACCAGTCATTAACGTATTGACGCATAATTCTGACTAGCTCATCTGTAATGCATGACCCGTTAAATAGGCAGACATGTGTAAAGATTTTTTATATTATTTTTGGATAGTCAAAGTAACTTTGTGATACATATATCGA